CGGATGCAGATCCTCTATTTGATATGATTGACATTCGCGAATTTTATGACAAGGCATATGCATCAGCTAGCCTCCTTCTCCTCGCATTTTGCTCCACTGCCATGTTATCCATCATCTCTTCCTACACACTCCCGAAGAAAGTTTGATTGCTACTCGCAAAAGCAAAAACCATTCATTTCCCAAAGCAAATGTCTTCTCCTTTTTTGGGTTGTGGGATTTAAGCTTTGTTTTGTTAATTTTCTTCCTGAATATCACGCGTTGTAATATGCGATGAATCATGAGAAAATATTATTTTCTCTCCTTTTTTTTGTGGTCTGATTTGATATTAGTTTGATCAATGTAATATTGTTGCGCCAATCCAATGTGTCTTTTGCTAATAAGACATCCATGAATGGAAGTGTCAAGGATCTGTATGATTATATATTCCCATGCTTTTCATCTTCAATTCGGTACAAAGAGGATCCATGGGTTTTAAGGCTAGCCCACACCTAAGGCTAACAAGGTAAAATTCTATAGTGAAGGGGTCATATATGAACCTTTCATGTAGACCTTCATATTAGTCACAACATTTTGACCTCCTTTTGGCCGCCCTTTCCTTGCTCAATACCCATATGAATATGATATTAGGCTTGTTAATCAACTTGCGTGTTAGTAATTATAAAAGAAACCCCTTTCGAATTTTAGCCATAAGCTATTGGACCCAAGTTGATAGGACTAGTGTTCCACGAAAATTTATAATATGCTCTGATTAAACATAGAATTCATGTTCATTGTTACCTGGAAGTCCCTGTGTGAATATTGTGTGAGAGGGGGCCAAACAATAAATTTTCGGGTTCAATTGAGAAAAATGGTATATATTACCATATGATTATTGAAGAATATGAAGTATCATATTAGAAACTTGATAAAATCCAATACATTATATAATTTATGAATCCACTTTCAATAGCATCAATGTCTTTTGCATAAAATTTCATACTTGCTGAACTTGCAAGTTGTTAAATTAGGAGCAAGATCGATGTTAGGGCGTGAGTCCGTTCCTCTGAAATTTAACAATAATAGCATAATTTATTCGTGTACCCCATTCAGAAACCGTGTAAGCCCATTAATTAATTAATAAATAATTAATTAGGTGATCTCCAAATGTTATATGACTTTGAAAAGCTGTCGTAGGCCAAAACAGTTGCAGAAATTAATTAAAATTGCCATCAACTTCTGGGGTTTTCCAGCTTAATTTTACACAACGCAAACGTTACGGATCATACAATAACCTCCCAATCAGTGGCTGCCGCCATGTCATATTTTTCATAAATTTGTAACTTCATATAGTATAAAATATAAATATACTAGCCAGTCCACCTCCATGCATAGCCAAAACTTGGGTTAGTCAACCCCACAAGAAAGTTAAGCCCCATCCAGGAAAATTCTCGCTGTTTAATTGTCTTTTCTTCTGCCATTTTACTTTTGTCCGGCGGTAGGAACAATATGAAACTGAATTGAAATTGAAAAACAAAACGAAGAAAAAAAATTATATTTGTTTACTTTTTGCATTGGCCAACTGAAACAAGTTAAACTGTGTATAAAAGGCCAGCACCAGCAGGGATTAATGCAGATAATTATAAATTACTAGTAATTAATTGTGTTTAATTAGAGAGCAAAGATGGAATCACAGAGACAAGTTTCAGTGCTTCCTAAAAAAACTTCCCGATTTGCCATTCTTGGGCTGAGGGTCCTCACCACTATTTTACTGGTTGTGCCACTCGTCATCGTCGTCTCCAATGTTCTCTCAGACCGCAGGGATAAAAAATATCACTTTTATGATTTTGTGCCTTACCGGTAATTGCCTACTTTTAGCAATTGATTTCTAGTTCAGTTTAGTATTACTCACTTTTAGCAATTGACAACGTTCTCTGTTTTTTATTCATTGCAGATACATGGCTGCCTCAATTGTTATTGGAATTGCATATTCAGTCTTCCAAACTGGAGTTGCAGTTGTCCGCCTCAGAAGAGAAAATCATGGGAACATCTTACTTGATTTCTATGGCGACAAGGTACACATATAATACGCGCACGCATACGCAGACTCACATGCATAAGTTGATATGTAATTTATAATGGATTAAGTGTGTTTTTTGATAGGTCAAACTAATCTGTGCAGGTTATATCAACTCTATTAGCCACTGGATCTGTTGCAGGATTTGTTATGACTGCACAATTACAGAAACAGTGGGGCGAAGCTGTAAGTGATTACTATCACAAATATTTCAAGAGGTCATATGCAGCAGATGGACTTGTCTTCCTTGCCTTCGTCTGCACTTTCATCCTATCGGTCCTCTCTTCATATGCTCTGCCTAAGAAGTTTTAGATTTTGCAGCATCATCAGCAGTTGGCTGTCCATTGATCAGTGTCTTAAACACCTTAGTTTTATAGTTTCTTTTTCTCCCCCTTTGATCGATGTGTAAATCATGATATAAAGTAGTGATGTTTGTTACTCCAAGAGTTCATTTCATCACATGAAAATTTTAAAGGGGTTAAGATTTGGTAGGTTTTATGTGTCTTTATTATGTAGAACGACTATATTAATGGTGTAATAAGTTTCCAATTAATTTAATTCAATAGAGACAAAAGTGGAAGAAATTTGATATTCTTTGTATTATATATAATTTCGAAGTACCAATTTTCAATTTCATGCATCTCAAGAAGCATCGCATATTGCAATTCCAGTAAGGAACTTGTAGCTCAAATACCTCATCTTCCAATATCAAACAATGCAGCTCCAAAAATCTTGACGTTTGATGGGAAAAAAAATGAAGGAGAACTTTCTTTTTTTCTTAAAAAAAGGTTAAAAGTCTTGGCTCTTCTCTATCTCTGACTCTGTATACACTATTTTGGCAACAAATGAAACTCATGACTTCTCTAAAAACAGAAACAAGGGCAATGCAGATACAGGGTCCTAATTAACCTGTCCTCTTTTTTTTTTTTTTTTTTTTTTTTAGCTTTATCCAACATAAAAAAAGAAGCTGTCTCTATTCCAAATCTTGTTCCAAAGGCCAGGACCCGGCAGGCAGAGGCCGAGGCGCTAGCGGTGCCACGGGAAAGCGAAGATGGCCGCATCACTGCTTTCCTCCACAAGTATGCGGATTATTACTCTTGTATTGAGGATCGTGACCGCCGTCACACTGCTTGCGTCCCTTGTGCTCCTCCTCATCATATCTCATCCAGTAAAAGATCTCAACGAACGCGGAGAGGTTAAGGAAACTTGGATCATGCGCTTTTATCACAGAGTTCCATTCCGGTATATATAAATGACCTTTATATCCTTGATGATGGATATCAACTTAATTATAATCTCATGCATGCATGCATTTTGTAATTTCAACAGATATACGGCTGCAACGATTATTATTGGAGCTGCATATTCAATCTTCCAGATCGTATGTGCAATTATCCGCTTAGCCAAAAGAAATGAAGGGAATGTCATGTTGGATTTCTTCGGTGAGGAGGTACGTACGTACGTGGAATATAAAATATCTATCTTAAATGTTTTTGTCCGTTGCCAATTAATTTTGAGTTGGATGCTCTGATGCGCCTTGTTATTCCTTCCTCTTTTGAATGAATAGAAATCACTCAAAATAATTCGGGCATGGTGCAGGTATTGTCGAAATTATTAGTTTCAGGAGCTGTTGCAGGGTTTCTTGGGTCGTCAGAGCTGGTGAAAGCTTGGGAAGAGTATGGCGTGAATAGAGAAGACATAAACTCGTTTACGAACAAGACATATGCAGCAAATGGACTTGTCCTCCTTAGTTTCGTCTTCAGTTTTGTATTATCGGTCCTCTCTTCATATGCACTCGCCAGGAATATATCACTTTCAGAGACATAACTATCAGTTTGCTGTTCATTGATCAAAATCTTAATTACCTTTTTTCGTCTAAATCGTCATCTGTGATGTGTGATTCTCTCTCTAGTAGTTTGTTTTGCTCTTTTGGAATTTTTACGAGTTGTGTTAGGAATTAAGTGGATCAAAGACGTTTTGATCAGCCCATATTGGACAAATGATTGTTCAATATTGAACATAATTACCACTAAGAAAAGTTTTAGCAAAATATTTTGCAATATTAGAGTAAAAGTAAAAATTAATCAAACTCATTCAATAGGATAGGACAAAATTTCCCCATGGCACCTGGGTTTTATCGGATTGGCCTAGGGTTTTTAGTCTACTTCTAAGTGGTCATGAGTTCAAGCTCCCATGATAACTTTTGAAAGAAATTCAGTAGCACAAAATTTTAAGTATCAATACATACATAATTGAAAACAATTTTTCCGTGAATTTTCCTTTATAATATTTCTCGATAATTGAAAGAAAATAAATAAGTTTTCTTCAGAAATAATATCGTATTCTAATCCTTACCATTTGAACATAGAAGTAATTATTCATTGATGCCAACATTATTATTAGACAATAGTGAAGAATTATCTTTTTGTTAAAGACGTAAGATGAAAATGTGTTGGAATGCAGACGTGAATTAAACCAATTGGCCAGGCAGTGAATCCACCCCTTACACCCAAATTCAAATCTCATTCCTTGCGATGGATTGTGACTTTTCCTTTTTATATTATCACTCGTATAAGAAAAGAAAAAAACAATGTAATAGGAAACTTAGAAGAGGAGGGCCTACATGGCAAAGCACTTGGATCCACCGTTCAAAACATTTTCTTTTACAACTCGGCTTCTTTATGGATAAAAGGCTGAAAGCAAAACATATATGGGCCATTGTACCGCAAAAGAAAAGCCCTTCGTAGATGTTTTGATGTGAGATTTTAAAGAAAAGTATCAGATTTGGGGTTACACATGTTTTATTCTTCAGTCAAGGTTACACATGTTCGATGGAAAAAAACCCTTTTGTTCTATTTAGGGATCAAATTAAACTTATCTTTTTCCTAAATAAAAGAACAAACACACACACACACAGAGGAATGTTGAAAACAATGCCATTCATTCATTCATTCAGGGTCTTAAATAACCTGTGTTTAATTCATGGCCAAGAAAGAAACGGCGAGTTTGAGATTTCAAAGGTCATGTTGAGAAGGCGAAGCAGAGATGGCAGTCTCAATGCCTTCCCCCACAACGACGCGGATTGCTACTCTTGCGTTGAGGGTCCTGACCGCCATTCTACTCTTTGCCTCGCTCATCATCCTTCTCACTAACACTCAACAATTTCAAGGCCCAACCCTTCATTTTTATGACAGAGTTGGATACAGGTAATTAATTAATTAATTAATTAATTAGTGCATGCATGATGCAAGCACGTCAAATTAATCAATTTTTATGACGACGTGCAATGCAAGCAATCTCATCCCCTGTAATTATTTAATTAAATTGCAGTTACGCGGCTGTCGGAATTTTTTTGGGACTTGCATACTCAATTTACCAAACCGTATGTGCAGTCATTCGCATCAAAAAGGGAAGTGAAGGGAATGTTGTTTTCAATTTCTACACTGAGAAGGTACCAGCGATAATATGTAGTTACCTATATTTACTTATCATCGATCGTAAGAAAAATAGATACATAGTTGTATACAAACAATTACACTTCAAATTTCTCATCATCGTCGTCAGGGTTTTTTTTATGATCAACTTACTCATCAATTTTGATTCAGGGAGGAAACTATCTACATATATATACATATATATATATATATATATATATATGAAATTAAGCTAGCATGTGACATGTGATTTCTTTTGAATATAACAATGGGTTTCACCAATTTGGGCAGGTTGTGTCAAATTTATTAGTTACAGCAGCTGTTGCAGGATTTGTGACAACCGGACAACTAGTGGATGACGTTGTACGACAACAAGGACCAAGTAAACTTCCTTTACTTGAAAGATTTGTGAGTTTGTCAAATTCATCATCTGGAATTGTTCTCGTTGGCTGCCTCTTCTCTTCAATGTTATCGGTTCTCTCTTCATATGCACTCGCTAGGGATGAGGATTAATTAGATCTTCTTACAAACATACGTGTATATGAACAGTTGCAGCAGCTCATTATAATCAAAGGCTCATTCACTGCCTTCTTTTTTATTCATTCCCTTCTGATCTACCATGTTTAAATCGTCATATACAATAGGTTTCTTCTTTCTTTCTTTCTTCATTTCTTTTTTCTTTCTCACTTCGCTTAATTTTTTGATGGAATTTTAGGAATTTCATACCTATTAATTGAAATAAGGATTTTAAAAAGAGTAATATTAAATACACAAACTTTTTTCTTATTCACAACAAAAAAGAAATTGTCACATTAGGTGGTGATCCAAAATTATGTAATAAGCTAGTATCTTTAGAAGTCGACAAAACAATCTTTCGTGAAAAATTGTGAGTATAGGTTTGTTAAGATTTCAAAGGGACGGACTCTTGGCCCACCACTAACAACATCGATATTGTCCTAAACTTAACCACATCTTTAGCAGGTGTGGAGTTTTATACAAAAGGCCTCGATATTATTAGGAGTGGACCCATTCATTATATGAGACTTTCTATTTTGTTAAGTTTCGGATATGGGACTGTATGTATTCTTCAACAAGGTTATTGTCTCTTGGTAAGGATTTCAATTTGTGTATATCAAATTTTCAAGTATGAGAGTCGCTAGTACAAAATTTCATCCTCCAAAAATTATAATGGAATGGGAATGCTCACGTGGCAATCAAATGTCTGCTGAATTCTGAGGTATCTCAGGTAACTCTTGTAAGTTGTAACCATATGCAAGCCTAGTTAGGCTTTGCTCTTTCTTGTTCAGATTATCTTGTATGGATGGATGAAGAGCCATGTTGGCGTGGCTACATTTTATTCCAGAGGAAATTGTATTAATCTTATATTTGAGTAGTAATATGCAAAAGTTTTAATTTGTACTAAAAGAAATTTTCTATTCTTTGCATAAGAAAAAGTTCATAATTCTTGCTATTTGTATGGTGAGATAGAAAGAATATTTTTCTTTTGGGTCTGCGACCAAATTAGATAATTACCATTTATAAGAAGTACCACACTTTTCCTTCAAGTTACCTGCTAACACTATAAACCCTGACCCTAAACAAACTCGCCCAAGAATTAATCATCGTCCTTGTTTGGAAGAGACCAGCACTTTTCTTTGTTTTATATTAGTTGTTGCTGCAGTTGTGGAAGAATGGCGAGAGAAGAAAAAGATCATGCGATAGGGATTGATCTGGAGACAACCTACTTGTGCGTCTCAGTAGGATCATGTAGAAATCATAGTCAACGATCAAGGGCAACAGAACCACACCTTCTTACATTGCATTCACTGAGACCGACCGCTTCATTGGCGATGCAGCCATTAACCAAGTCATCTCAGAAACCCTGCCAACTCCATTTTTGGTAAGCCATCTTGATTTCAACATCTGACCAAGATAGAGCCAACATTTTTTATGGTATTCTTTATTCAATGATAAATTTCTTGTGTTCAGTTCAAGTTTCCATCTATTTGACTATAATCAACTTCGAGGAGCACCAACACAAAAATAAAGAAAAGGATATTATTATGTGGGTTAAGATATTTGGCCAAGGCATTGTGTCCGGCCCATTGCACCCTAGTTCGATCCCCCAAGTTTATAATATCGCCATTGTCAAAAAACTAAAAAAGTAACCATACCTACCTATTGAACTTTGCAATTTGTAAAATAGAAGATAACCATACTGCATATTCTGTTTTTGTACTGGTTTTTTTTCATAGATCATATAATCTTTTTCCTCCTCGTTTTTCCTTGTGCATCGGTTATGCCCTAATTTTGACACGGATGACCTTAAAAATTGGTAGATACAAAGAGGTTAATTGATAGAAGATTTCGTGACGATTGTGTTCAGAATGATATCAAGTTGTGGCCATTCAAGGTCATTGAAGCACCTGCCGATAAGCCCATGATTTCCGTTACCCACCAGGGTCAAGAAAAACAGTTTGCTGCAGAAGAGATCTCGTCCATGATTTTGGCAAAGATGCGGGAGAAAAACAGAAAAACAGTATGAATTATCAACCGAAGTAATGAGAGACTTCAGTAGTGCAGTCTTCAAAACCAATGCAGTCGAACTTGCTCAGATAATTTCTGAAGCTGCAACCTGCGACCAAGCAATAGAGATTCAAGTAAGTTTGCAACGTTTCAATAATCGCGTCAAGTTATTAATTCATTACTTCTGAAAATATATTAATCTTGGTGCTTCCAGAAAGGGTTTGTTTATGTGAAAGCATCCTTAGATTCTGTCGTCAAGATTTTCCTCGGTATCGAACTCGGCACCTGCTTGGGACAAATGAAGAAGGTACCCGGTTTTCCAATGCTTTTGATGAAGCAAATGCAAATACGCTGTATCGTTATGTTGACATCTCCTGGAAGATCAGATGGTTCTTAAACGTTGGTTCAGAAGCAGTGCTAAAGAAAAATATCAAAGTTAATTTGATGAAGCAAATGCAAATATCCTGTATCGTATGATTAGTACTAATATAATGTGGATGACTGGTAGTTAAAGAAAGGAAACATTATTTCAAGGCTTTTGGAATTGAGAGAGACTGACCCAAAGTACGTCCTTGAGACAGTGTTTGAAAAGAAAGAAAAAAAGACCCTAAACCCGCCTAGGTTTTTTTTTTTTTTTTTTTCACCTTCTTTCTGACTTCAAAGAAAACCTATGTCTATAACGTGATGATCAGAGCACATGCGTGTACAAAAATCAGTGTTGCGGATGAAACTCTTTCTTCGTTTGGGTGGTTGCTGCTGTATAAGCAAATGCTCTGCGATGGCATTTCCCCTAATTGTCTCAATTTTCCGTTCCTTGTAAAAGAATGCACGAGTAGGGTTGATGGCTGCACAGGCCGGAGCTTCCATGCACAAGTCGTTAAGTATGATGTTTTTGTTCAAAATTCGTTGATTGCTATGTACTCTGCATGTGGGTTTCTAAATAGTGCACGTACATTGTTTGACGAAATGTTGGAAAGGGATGTTGTTTCGTGGAACTCGATGATTAAGGGATATTTGAGAAGTGGGAATCTTGATGGCGCATTGAATCTGTTTGGAAAGATGAACAAGAGAAACATTATTACTTGGAATTCAATGAAATGCAGTTCTAACAATCGCCAGTTTCCTTGCAGCTTGTTCTCATCTTGGTGCAATTGATCATGGATTCATGGGATATGGGTGCATAGGTATCTGAGGAGAAGTGGCATGGAGAGTGATGTGGTCATGGGCAGCTCTGGTTGACATGTATGGTAAGTGCGGATGTGTGGACAAAACGTATACTTGATGACAAAGTCATAAGTATGGTTCTGAAAAGCAGCCCATCCAAACCAATACTAGTAAGTTATTTTATTTTTTATTTCTGGGTACCTAAATATAACAGATTTCCAAGTAATTTTACTGTATTATGCTGGAAATAGTGGTACATAGAATAAGGAACCAAAATAAATTCTTTGTAAGGCCGATTACATTTCCCAACAAGTCTTTCTCTAATCTATTGTTACCACTCAGACCGCTCTAGATTACAGAAGTCACAGACTGAGGCACTCACCCAAGCAAGCATATATTCTCTTTCTCTGCCACCATTTTTCTTCCTTGCTATTCTTCTTTCGGTTTATTTTTTTTATCTGACAATGGCGGGAGAAGATAAAGCGGGGCATGCAATTGGGATTGACCTGGGGACAACCTACTCTTGCGTGGCAGTGTGGCAGCATGATCATGTAGAAGTTATAGTGAATTATCAGGGCAACAGGACCACTCCTTCTTATGTTGCTTTCACAGATACTGAGCGCTTCATTGGTGATGCAGCTTTCAATCAAGTCATCAAAAACCCCAACAACACTATCTTCGGTAGGCTCATGACTTTCCCACATATGCACCTATATGTATAATATACCAGTTTTGAATTCCCCGGAGGCTCTGCTTCTTCCATTTGTTTTTAATCTGTCTTCTTTTTTTCTCTATCCTAGCACTTAATTGATAGCAGTATGCTGAGTGAGTAAGTAGTTTAGTCAAAGTTCGGATGTTGTTGATAAATTTCTAATTTAGAATTTTAGATATAACTTAGTGTAGAAACCATCTTGATATATATATACATGCGAGGTATAATCTTGTAATTTCAAAAACAAGTCAAATGCTTATGGTCTGTATTCTTAATAAGATGCCATAATTCTTGAAATGAAATATACATACTATCATTCTTGATTACAGCTAGCTGTCAGGGTCAATTACCTTTGAGCTTTATAAATTTAGACTGATTTAGTCAGCATAGAAGGTGTACTTATTCACTATTGTTTATGTGTAACATCTGTACTAGTGAATATGAATGATGCATATATAGCTAGTCAGTGTTCTCTAGGCATTACAACTAGTTATTAGTTTTGCTGTGGCAGGGTGAGAGAGTTAGAGAATTTGGATTGGAATACTTCACATCATTTTTCGTTTAACATTATGCTTTTATTTCTATCATATGGCCTGTTTCCTTGTTAGTTTAATTTCCTTGTCGGGTTGTGTATTTCTATTTTGTCATCAATTTGCAGATGCAAAAAGGTTAATTGGTAGGAGGTTCAGTGATGAATGTGTCCAACATGATATGAAGCATTGGCCATTCAAGGTCATTAAAGGTCCAGCTGATAAGCCAGCAATTGTGGTTACTCACAAGGGCGTAGAGAAGCAATTTGATGCAGAAGAAATCTCATCTATGGTTCTTGTAAAAATGCGGGAGATTGCTGAGGCGTACCTTGGTTCAACTGTGAAAATTTCAGTTATCACAGTCCCCGCTTACTTTAATCGCTCACAGTGACAAGCTACAAAAAATGCAGGTGCTACTGCTGGACTAAATGTGATGCGTATCATCAATGAGCCGACTGCTGCAGCCATTGCTTATGGGCTTGACGGGAAGTCTGGTTGGTACAGCAAGAGAAATGTGATGATATTTGATTTGGGTGGTGGTACGATGGATGTTTCACTGCTTACCATAGCTGATAGTGTGTTTGAAGTGAAGGCAACTGCTGGGGACACTCATTTAGGAGGTGAAGACTTTGATCACCGAATGGTGAATTATTGTGTTGAGCAATTCAAGAAGAAGCATAAAGTGGACATTAGTGGAAACTCCAATGCTCTTAGGAGGTTAAA